CCCTCATCTTTCCGCTCTTGCATTTCAGTATTCTTTAACGTAAAATGAGAAATTAAAATTTTGGACAATAAACAATTTACAAAAAATATCATCACCTACTAACTCTAAATTAAAGCCTTGATAGTTAAATAATGATGATTTCTATTCCTTACAACGTACGAGTGTCTTACGTGGAGGCCGTCAGTCTTTGTATTACGAGTGGTAATTCACTCCAAGATTAAAAATGACACATGATACAAGTTTTCAAGTACCGCAACAATACAGGAGCTAATTCTTTTCATTACTAAACCCCTGTAATCCAGTGGTTCCCAAACTTTTTCAGGCTGGCGCCCCCTTTGGCTCCCTAGTGAATTCCTAGCGCCCCCCCACAGACATAAGCCTCTTTCTTGAAATTTAGTACGTTGCAATTTTAAAAGATAAAGGTTAAACACAAATGTGTATTTCACAAATGGAACCCCATTTAGTGAACCAATATGTTTTTCAGCTGTTTCAGCACTAGAAACCTAGGACGTCTCGGGCAAATTTACGGCCGGACTCGTGGCCGGTCTCACGACCAATCTCCAAATTCAACTATCAAGTAATATCTCCCAAACTAATGAACGCAGCTCTATGAAACTTGGAACACGTATTCATCAGAACCTAACGGTCATGTTTAGCTTGTAAATTTATTTTAAATTTAACCTTCATTTGTGAGTTATGCGTATATTGCGAAAAAGGCCGAAATTCGCCGTGATTAAAGAATGTCTCCGAACTATTGAACAGATTTGGACGAAATTTTGAATATACATTCCTGACTACCGAACGGTGATTTTTTAGCTTAAAATTTTTTTTTTTCGATTTTACCCTTGCGAGTTTTTTTTTCATTTCATCGTCATTCTTGATTTCACATTTCCTTATATTCGGCCCGTATAGCCGGGTAATTTGTGACTTAAATTCGCGGCGATCAAGAAATTTCTTCTAAACTACATAATAGATTTCAACGAAACTTGTATATGCATAATTAACCTCTCAACGGCGATGTTTAGCTCGTGACAATTTTTCTATTTTGCTTTCGTTCGAGAGTTATACAGATATAGGAGGAACGACCGGCATTTCTACCGGCCAGCTTAACCAAGATCCTTATACGTACAGCCGTATAACTCGCAAACGAATGCAAAACGAAGAAATTGTAAACATCACCGTTGCAGAGGTTAAGTATTTAAATACTAAGTTTCGTTCAAATCTGTTCAGTAGTTTGGAAAAATGTATTGATTACTGCGAATTTAAGCTCGTATTGCTGTTTAAATCACTGCTGAAGGTGAAATGAAAAAAAACTCGCGAACGAATAAGGCACAATCGAAAAAATTTTCACGAGCTAAACATTACCGTTCGGTAGTTAGGACTGTAAATTCAAAATTTCGTTTGCATCTGTTCAGTAGTTTTGAAGAAATTACTTGATCACTGTGAATTTCGGCCCGTATTGCCGTATGGCAAAAACAAACGATGGCAAAATTCAAACAATTTTCATGAGCAAAACATTATCGTTAGGTCCTAATGAATACGTGTACCAAGTTTAATCGAGTTAAGTTCATTAGTTTGAGAGATATTCCTTGATCATTGAATTTGGAAATTGGCCGTGAGACCGGCCGCGAGTCCGGCCGTTAATTCGTCCGAGACGTAAACCCAGGATAGATAAAAAAAACAGATCTGGGAGAAAAAACCATCGCTGGGAGTCATGATGTGCTGCACGTGTTGTGTGAAAATCGTTAAACAAACGTTCGAACTTCTGACATTGACTTCGGGCTACCGCCCCCTATCGCCCCCCAACCGCCCTCTTCTTCCTTACCGCCCCCTAAAATCTTTCCGTCGCCCCTAGGGGGGCGATATCGCCCACTTTGGGAACCACTGCTGTAATCAAATTATGAATATTACAACTAATATTTATAAGATGATTAATGACTTACGATTAATGACATAGTTCGAAAGATACTGGCTATACTGTATTTTAAAGTATCCAATTGCGGGTAATCCAAGGACAAAGGTTATAAAAATAGATTGTCCTTCACGATGGTTCTTTAATGACGACTTGATGCGTTCAGAATACTAAAATCGACATTTTTGTCAGTTGAAAACATCCTGTTCCAGCGCGGGGTTATTTTTGCAACAATATTTCGTGCGTCTGGTGCAAATTACGTACAGTGGGGGGAAATAAATATTCGTACACTTGAAAAATCGTATTTTAATGTATGTAAGTACACAAACTTAACAGGAAAAGTGATTTAAATTATGTATAGAGACGCATAGTATTCAAAAATACTATCAAAAGAAATTTAGTTTGTGTACTTACATACATTAAAATACGATTTTTCAAGTGTACGAATATTTATTCCCCCCCACTGTATATAATGTAGATGTAGTTAGGAGAACGAAACGCAACAGACCACTTGGAAAATGTATGTTTTAGAACATATGTTTAACATTTAGAACATTTGTTTAGAATTTTATTTAATAAAGATTAGAAATAATCAAGGAATGCGGTTGAAACATTTAATGCGAAGGAAGGCGGTATTTAGAGCATATCAAAGGTCTTAAAAAATGCCGTAAGTAAAATCACAATGGAGTTACGAATAATTGAAATGAAAGTTTTACGATTTAAGATGAATTGTAGATTGAAGAAAAAGAATTACCAAAGAGTGAAACTTGACCAGGAATATTTAATAAGAACCTATGGGAAAGTCCTTCGATCTAATCAATTGAGAAAAGTCTCCCATAAATACCTATAATTCAAGAAATTTATGATGAAAGCAAATTTAAATTAATTGAAGAGAGTTTACTTTCTCGCTATTGACATTCGAGACAATTGATAATAAACGTTGAAAATATAAAAACATTACAAGTATCGAAAAAGAGTATACGCTAAATTCTGAAAATCTTAATCAGCTAGAAAGCTCGATTTTGATTAATATAAATGAAATAAATAAAAATAAATTCTATAAATAAAGAGTAGAAATAAATTAGTTTATTTTGGAGAAAAATGTAATCACAATTTTGATGTAATAAAGAATACACAGTTTTCCTGCTCCAAGTTTTATATGCCTCAGTACTCAAAGCAATCCAAAACATGAAGATTGAACCTGAGAAAGACAAGACAACTGCAGTTCAAATAATTAAGTTACTTACAAGAAAACTGTCATGAAGTGCAACTACGAATCGTTAAAACGAGTTAAAGTCGAAGAACACGCACCAAATACGTACAGTTCATATCAGATATCACAAACTGTCATGAGTAACAATGGCAGGCCGTCAGGAAAAGTTAATATTTACAATTCTATTTCAATTAGTTATCGTCTATGTACTAAGAATTCATAGCAGTTATTCGCTTGTAATCATGATGAGCTGTGTGATGGAAAATAAAATGCTATCAATTTCATATCTTCAAAAAGTATCTTCGGTCCGAGAACCCGACGTAGAAATTATCTCTCAGAGTTCAAGCGCAATCTGGAAAATGGACCCAAGCGTCGTAGAGAATATAAAAATTATTCCTTAAGCGAGTTCATTGACTCTGGTAATAAAAAATTGTATAGCATACATAGTTGCGTGATACCTGGGCTGGCCTCTCTGGTCCACTCTTGAATTAACAATGGTTCAATGAAGTTAATTGATTGTATTATCAAGAATATGTCTCCGTTAAAAATTATTTATTTAGCAAGAATTTAAACACAATTTTTCAAATTCAAGCCCGATTTGTTTCCCGATTCAAGCCCGATAACTTAATTGCTAAATTATATAGCGAACAGATAATTTCAATCTTTCGATCGCTGCGTATATATAATTAGACGAAAATTTTCTTACTTTCAATGTAATATTCAATAGGAATTAATGTTGAAAATCATAAATGATTAAGATAACTTTAATGCTTAAATCGCAAATGAAATAAGAAATCAAATGTAAAGAAAATAACAATAAGGTTTAGACAAATTTTTTATAAAACCGTTGGGGACCAGCTCCATCGTCAGTACAGAACTTCATTCGGAACTGGGGTATAAACATTATACTGAAAAATTAAGAATAATCTCAAGCATAGCAAGGCTATGCGTTAAATAAAGTATATTCTCGTTTTTTTTAATGTCTTCGAAATTAAATTCATATGAGTTTATCTCTTGTCATGCGAGGCGTATCATTCATGCCATTTACGTATTAAAAACCCGAGCAATAATTCTTTAAGATTATATACTTCACAAAACTTTGCACAAATGTTATATGGCAGCCAATGACTTGTCTCTGCAGCCAAGTCAAGATCAAGACGAGCGTTAAATGCGGGAGTCTACAGAACTTTTGTACGGCTTAGACACCAATGTTTAAAACTAAAATTCGTCAACAATACCTTAAAAATTATTTCTCACAGAATGCTTGTAGTAAAATCATACACACATAGTGGCGTTTAAATACATGAATTACAAACAAATAAATTAGAGTCAATAGTTACCTTAGAATATTTCTGAATGTTAAGCGGTCAAATAAAAACATATTAATGACGTTCGTGTTCAAGTATCGTGTGAATCGAATGAATGGCCAGCATTGAGAGCTTCATCAAAATGTCAGTCGAGGGCCCGAAGTTGTGAATAACGCATGAATAGAAACATAAAAAAGTCAGCTAAGTTTTACAGCCCATTTGACCTCATTTTTTTGTTTGGTTAGAGTTCCATTTATTTATTTTCCTACTATCTACAAAATTACTAAAATTTTAACTCTAAATATATTACAAATGATTTAGGAGCCTCTAAACATATATGCTTCTCTATGAAACTATTAATATTATTTTGTTCATGTCATAGTGATTGACCAGAAATTATAGTAACCTACAGAAGATAAATATTGCTTTGGGAGGCTCTGGCCCAAGTCAATTTGGAAGGATTTTTTGATTTGAAGGAAAGTGGACGCAAAAATACTGCAATTTCAACCGCCAAGCTAGAAACACTTTTAAACGAAATTTTTGACGTTATTCGTTAGAACTTTGAAACTGCGTCGTTTTCTGATCCCGATGCGTTTTCTACACCGAGTAACGTGACGGCGTCGTGCACAGAGTGGAAGAGACGGTCGGCGGTGATGGTGGCCAGCACTCCCGTCACCTCCAGCGACCGCATCACATCATCTGTGGTAGACACGATCATTGCAGCTGTGCTTTTCTTCGCAGTCTTTGACAAATAAATCCGGAATGCGGATTATAAATTCGAATTTGTATTTCGAAATGTGGATACCTCATCTTTTAGCCACCGTGACATACGCACATCTCACATGAAAAACTAATTAACAGTTGCTAAAAAGGATGACTTTGCTTGAAATTAGAA